ATTGATTTGGGTCCCAGTTTTCTTCCTATCACTATTGGTTCCCTGTGCATTTTGCCCCACTTCACTTAGTGTAGCCTTAATTTTTTTCATCTGATTTGTGACCAAAAGCAACCAGTTCTGTGAAGATCCTGATCACCAGTGTTTTGAACTGTGCATCTGATAGGTTGGCTATCTTTTGGGCACTTAAAAATATTGGCTTTGGGGTTTTGATTTGTTCTTCTGTTTGGGCCATAATTTTTTGGTCTGGTCGTGCCTGTTATGTACAAGGGGTAGAGCCTTAGGTGAGGTGTTCACCAGGGCTGGGCAACTCAGTCTCTGGGTTGTGATGCTGTCTGGGGGGTGGGGTCAGAGAGGGAACAATGGTGCTTGCTTCTCTCTCAGATTTCAGTCCCTTCTGCCTCTTCCCACAAGCAAATTGGGCCCTTCTGGTGCTAGTTCCTGGGTGGGTGGGCTTGTGTATATTCTAGGACCCTGTGGTTCTCTCCAAATGACTGCTGTGAGTCTGGGAGTCTCTCCTGGCACCTCACCCCCCACCCCCCGCAAGTTATTTCAATTGGTGCTTTCAGGCTTTAGACAGGGTTGCTGCGGCCCTGGGTTGTGCGGTCTATCTCACTGCCCATTTTTGCCTGATTTATCTGCATGTGAATTGTGTCCACAGTCAGCCAACTGCCTTGCACACCTCACTGGGTCTGCTCGTTTCCTCCCCCCGGGGTTTTGCAGCCACTGCTTTTTCCTGCCATGACCTCTCCCCCAGCCACCGACTCTGCCCCTCTTACCTGTGTGGATGAATGGTTCATTGTTGGACTTCCATACAGTTCAATTTTCTGTCTGTTCTGGTTGTGTTTTTGTTTCTAAATCTTTGTTGTCCTTAAATTTGGTTGTGCAAGGAAGCACAGTATTTCCACTTATGCCTCCATCTTGGCTGAACATCTTATTAAGCAAATACTTTTGTACCCTACAAATAATTGGTGGACTTATGGAAACTGTAGAAACCCTCCACCCAAAATTTCTCATGGTCTTATTCTTAAGTCTTTGTAATATTAGCACATGAGAATTTAAAACATACAGTGTAACATGAAAAGAACCCTAGGCTGTGCTTCAGGAGACTGTTCTGGCTCAGGCTCTACCACAAACTTATTGCATGTTTCTGGGTGAGTTACATTATCTCTCTGGATTTAAATGTTTCCATTAGTAAAGAGAGAGTTTAGTTAGATGACCTGATGTCATTTTCTGCCAGACGATATTTGACAGGTAGCTGTGATAGTAATAATTTATACATTTATACTTAAAGTTGATTTCAACACAGTATTTTCTTCATTTTGGGGGAAGGGTGGTAGAATGTGCTGTTATGTATTATTTGAAGATTTGACACCTCCTCCCAACATAACTGCCTCAGATAAAGTCACTATAAGATCTTAAAAATAAAGAAAAGAATAGGGAGCTAGCTCACATCTTGCAGAGGGGTCTGCTGGCTGCTCCCAGCCAGGACCTCTGGTGCCCTTTTCCTTGGGAAGCTCCCATAAAACTGTCAGCTCATTTCTCAACAGAAACATTTCAAGCCAAAGAGAAGAAAAGCAAGGACCTACAACTGAGACTACTTAACATAGCAAGGTTGTCATTCAAAACTGAAGGTGAAATAAAAAGCTTCTCAGACAAGAAAAAGCTAAAGTTCATTACCCCCACACCAGAATTACAAAGAAAAATAAAAAATGTTAAAGGATCTTCTTTAAGAAGACAAAAAAAAAAGAGAGAAGGAACCCAGTTATAAAGAATAAAATGGCAATAAATACATACCATCAATAACCACTTTAAATCTAAGTGGCTTAAATGCTCCAATTAAAAGACATTGGGTAGCTGAGTAAATAAGAAAACAAGACCCATATATATATCATCTATAACAGTCCCACCTCAGAATGAAAGATACTCACAGACTGAAAGTAAAGGGTTGGAAAAAGATACTTCATGAAAATGAAAACAAAAGAAGCTGGGGTAGCAATACTTATATCAGACAAAATAGACTTTAAAGCATAGGCCATAAAAAGAGACAGAGAAGAAGATTATATAATGATAAAGGGATCAATCAACAAGAGGACATAATCCTTATAAACATTTATGTGCTTAACATAGGAGCACTAAATATAGAAGGCAAATCTTGATAAACACAAAAGAGAAGATAGACAGTAATACAGTCATAGTAGGAGATTTTAACAACCCATGGAAATCAATGGATTAATCTCTCAGACAAAAAAAAAATCAACAAGGAAGCAGTGGTTTTAAATGACGAATTTGAATTCCAGTCAATATGATGGTATAGACAGACATGGCTAATAATCTCTTTCCACAACCACATCAAACTTACAACTAAAATACAGAATAACCGTCACTCAGAACTATCCGAAATCGAGTTGATGGAAGCCTGACAACTATGGCATTAAAGAAACCACATCCATCCAGACTGGCAGGAGGGGCACAGATGCAGAACGGGCTGGTCCCTCACCCAGGTGTGGTAGATAAAAATCTGTGAGGGATATCTTAGGAACAAGGAGTCCAAGTCCACACCAGGCCCCCAGCCCAGGGTTCCAGTGCCAGAAAGATATGTCCCCACAACTTCTGACTGCAAAAATCAGTGGGAATTGAGTTGGTGGAAAAAATTGCTGGAGTCTCAAGCAGTTCCTCTTAAAGAACCTATATAGAGACTCCCCTACTCAAACTCACTCCCTCTGAGCTCCAGCACCAGGGTAGTAGCTTGAAAGGCACTAGTGATTGATATACAGGGAGAAACTGAAGTGTCTGACATCAGGGTGGGCAGAGGCCATTTTCCCTTTTCTAAACCCTCCTCCCAGAGAGCTGGCAAGCTGGTGCCATATCTGAGACTCCATCATCCGGGCTCACACTTTCTGACCCACCTTGGAGGAGATCCCCAGAGACTCCACCCTACCCAATATATGGGCCCACCCAAGCTGCTTTTCCATGTGAATGGCTGGTCTTGGCTCAGGCTTCACAACTTCCTAAATTCTCTAAAACAAACAGCAGCTGGCTTCAGTGAGCCTCAGGCCCAGCATTAGCAGCAGTCAGCCTAGATTTGTAGCTTGGATTCGCCCAGGAATCTTCAAGCCCAGCACAAGTAGCAGCCATCTCAGATTGCTTTATAACTCAGATAGGGTGGCCCTGGGCAAAAAACAGATGGGGGCTGATCTTGGCTTGTGCCACCAGTGAAACACCAGGGCCAGCACATCCAGCGGACAACTACAGACCACGTCAGAGCACCACCACCCTACCCCCGCACAGATGATCTTCCAATGGAGGGTGGAGGTTGGTAATAAATGGTCACAGCCAGTCCTTGCTGCTGACTGGCCTGGGTAAATCCCTCCCACTGATCTGCCAAGAGCAACCAAGGCTCAACTACAAGAGAAGGATGTACTCAGCCCACACAAAGGGTACACCTTGAGAAACCCAGCTTGGGTGATAGGGGATGATATGCCACTGGACCCTACAGGACACCCACTATATTAAGCCACACTACCAATACATGGAGTCAAAGCTGCTGTACCTAATACATAGAAACAAACACAGGGAGGCTGCCAAAATGAGGAGACAAAGAAACATGGCCCAAATGAAAAAACAGATCAAAACTCTAGAAAAAGGGCTAAACAAAATGGAGATAAGCAATCTATCAGATGTAGAGTTCAAAACACTGGTTATAAGGATGCTCAAGGAACTTAGTGGGGACCTCAGTAGCATGAAAAAGATCTAGTCAGAAACAAAGGATACACTGAAATAAAGAATTTATTGATACACTGAATGGATACACTGTATCAATAAAATCAAAGAATTTATGGATACACTGAAATAAAGAATTTATTGAAATAAAGAATGATTTACAGGGACACAACAGTAAAGTGGATTAAGCTGAAAATCAAATCAATGATTTGGAACATAAATAAGCAAAAAGCAACCAATCAGAAAAACAAGAAGAAAAGAGAATTAAAAAAAAATGAAGATAGTGTAAGCAGCCTTTGGGACAACTTTGGGAAATCCAACATTAACTTCAGAGGGGTGCCAGAAGGAGAAGAGAAAGAGCAAGAAATTGGAACTCTATTTGAAAAAAAATGAAAGAAGACTTCCCTAATTTGGTGAAGGAAATAGACATGCAAGTCCAGGAAGCACAGAGTCCCAAATAAGATGGATGCAAAGAGGCCCACCCCAAGACACATAATGATTAAAATGCCAAAGGTTAAAGATAAAGAGACGGGAGGGTGGGTGTGGGTGAAACAGGTATTGTAGTTTCCACCATTGATAGTTGAGTCAGTAGTACTTATCAGCATGGAGTATCAATGACTTTGAACATGAACTTTACAAAACTCTCACGAAAGATCTAGGGTTTTCCCCAAACTGTGTCAGAGCATGAATGTTGTTGGTAAGGGGAGTTACACAGGTATGAACTCAGGTATCAGCAGATAGATATATCTAGGACATTGGATTTAGGGGTCATGAAGCAAGACTTAGAGGAACACATAGCCATTCTAACTTGCACCTAAAGAAAAGTGGAACAGTGAAATGAGTATCACCTGGGAACTCTTACCTTTCTCCTTTGTGTTTCCATGAGGAATTTCCAAATCCCTCTAGACTTTTTCACTTATCAGTATACACTTAAGGTGTCTTTTTGTGGCTTGATAGCTGTTTTTTAATCACTGAATAATATTCCATTGTGTATACTATACAATTTTTTACCCATTCCTGTATTAAGGGACATCTTGGCTGCTTAAAATTTTTGGCAATTATGAATAAATCTGCTATAAATATTTATACTCAGGTTTTTCTGTGGGTATGTTTTCACGTTCATTAGGGTTAATAGTCAGGAATGTGATTGCTGGAATATATGGTAAGCTTATTTTATTTTATCTTTAAATTTTTATTTATTTATTTTTACAGAGAAGGGAATGGAAGGAGGGAGAGAAACATCAATGTAAGAGAGAAACACCAACTGGCTGTCCTTGCAGGCACCCAGCCAGGGACTGAACCTGCAATCCACGCATGTGCCCTGACCGGGAATTGAAACAGCGACCTTTTGCTGTACGGGATGATGCCCAACCAGCTGAGCCAAACTGGTCGGGGATGGTAAGCCTGTTTTAGCTTTATAAAAAAATTCCTAACTGTTTTTTCAAAGTGGCTGTACCATTTTGCATCCCCACCAGCAGTAAATGAGAGTTCCTGTTGCTCTACATTCTCTCCAGCATTTGGTGTTGTTGCTGTTTTGGAATTTAGCTATTCTAAGTAGTGCGTAGTGGTGTCTCATTTTTTAAGTTAAAATATAACCGGCACACAATATCCTTTTAGTTTCAGGTAAACATCATGGTGATCTGATATTTAAATACATAAGGAAATGATTCCACAATAAGTCTGTCGCCATACAAAGCTATTACAATATTATTGAGTATATTTCCTGCGCTGTGCATTCCATCCCTATGACTTATTTATTTTATACCTGGAAGCTTTTAACCTCTTGAAGCTCTTAACCTATTTTGCCATTCCCTAACCCCTCCTCCTGAAACAGGGTACCTGTGGAAACAGTTGCAATCAATAAAAGCTACAGGAACTGTCAAAAAGTAAGACCACCTCCCATTGGATTGATGGCTTAAAACTGGCAGAGACCAGTTTGTTTCAACATGACTAGTTTCACCCAGTGGTAATGCCTACCCAGCCTCCATCACACACTCATTGTAACACAGTTGCAGGCTGGCACAGCCTGTGCTGCCATGTTCAGAAATGGAAAGCCCAGGACTTCCGGCCAAGATGGAGGCGTAGGTGGTTATACTCTCCCTCCTCATACAATCAAAAGAAGGACAACAACAATGCTAAAAACAAAACACAACCAGAACTGCCAGAAAATCAAACTGTGTGGAAGTCCAACAACCAAGGAGCTAAAGAAGAAACATTCATCCAGACCGGTAGGAGGGGCAGAGATGGGCAGCTGGGGCAGAGAGAATGTGTGGCAAGGTGGTGGCTGGAGGATGGGGCAGCAGGGGGCGAGGCAGCAGCTGGCAGAGCAGGCAGTTCCACATTTACGTGTGGATAAACTGGGAGGAACAACTGGGGAGGGAGACAGACCATGCAACTCAGGGTTCCAGCACAGGGAAATAAAGCCTCAAAACCTCTGACTGAAAAAACCTGTAGGGATTGCAACAGTAGGAGAAACTCCCAGCTGCACAGGAAAGTTCATTGGAAAGAATGTACTCTCTAGAATGCACACAAACCCACCCACCCAAGAATCAGCACCAGAGGGGCCCAATTTGCTTATCGGTAGCAGGGGAAGTGACTCAAAGCCAGCTGAGAGCAGAACCAGGGTCATTGTTCCCTCTCTGACCCCTCCCCCACAGACATCTCCACAACACAGACAAGCAGCTTGCCCTGCCCTGGAGAATACCTAAGGCCCCTCCCCTTACAATGTAACAGGTGTGACAAGACAAAGAAATATGGCTCAAAAGAAAGAACAGATCAAAACTCTAGAAAAAGAACTAAGCGATGAGCAGATAGCTAACCTATCAGATGCACAGTTCAAAACACTGATAATCAGGATGCTCACAAAACTGGCTGAGTATGGTCACAAAATAGAAGAAGAAGTGAAGGCTATGCAGAGTGAAATAACAGAAAATGAACAGGGAACCAACAGTGATGAGAAGGAAACTGGGACTCAAATCAAGGGAGTGGACCAGAAGGAAGGAAGAAATAACCAGAAAAGAATGGAGAAACAAGAATTCAGAAAAATGAGGAGAGGGTTAGGAATTTCCAGGACATCTTTAAACATTCCAACATCTGAATTATAGGGGTACCAGAAGGGGAAGAGGAAGAGCAACAAGTGGGAAACTTATCTGAACACATAATAAAGGAGAACTTTCCCAATCTGGCAAAGGAAATATACTTCCAGGAAGTCCAGGAAGCTCAGAGAGTCCCAAAGAAGTTGGACCCAAAGAGGAATACACCAAGGCACATCATAATTATATTGGCCAAGATTAAAATGAAGGAGAGAATCCTAGAAGCAGCAAGAGATAAGGAGATAGCACCCTACAAAGGAGTTCCCATCAGACTGTCAGCTGATTTCTCAAAAGAGACCTTGCAGGCAAGAAGGGGCTGGAAAGAAGTATTCCAAGTCATAAAAGACAAGGACCTACATCCAAGATTGCTCTATCCAACAAAGCTTTCATTTAGAATGGAAGGGCAGATAAAGTGCTTCTCAGATAAGGTCAAGTTGAAGGAGTTCATTATCACCAAGCCCTTACTATATGAAATGTTAAAGGGACTTATCTAAGAAAAACAAGATGAAAAACAGGTATACTAAAATGACAGCAAACTCACAATTACTAACAACCACACCTAAAATGAAAACAAACTAAAGAAACAACTAGAACAGGAACAGAACCACAGAAATGGAGATCACATGGAGGGTTAGCAACTGGGGAGTGGGAGGAGGAAAGGGGGGGAAAAGGTACAGAGAATAAGTAGCATAGATGGCAGGCAGAAAATAGACAGGGGGAGGGCAAGAATAGTATGGGAAATGTAAAAGCTAAAGAACTTAAGACACATGTATATGAACTAAAGGGGGGGAATGAGGGAGGGAGAGGGTATGCAGGGTGGAAGAGAATGAAGGGGGGAAATGGGACAACTATAATAGCATAATCAATAAAATATTAAAAAACAAAAACCCATAGAACTTAAGGGTACGTATGGTAGAGGCTGCTCCACACTTTAAAAATAAGGCGTTATCCCCCAGAATGACACTCCCTCTGCTTCAATGCCCCTTTGTCTGTGACCCCAGTAGTGTGAGATGACAGGTGTTGGCATGAAGCAAATACAGAGGGATGGACAAGCAGAGCCCCTTTAACGTGATCATCCCCCCCAAAAAAACCATGAAGCTCCCCCAGCTGGACTGGGCCTTTTTCTTGCTGTTTTCCTCCCCTTGTTCCTGCTCCTGTGTCCTGGCTGACCAAGTGGAATGCGGAAGAAAGTCGGATTTCTTTGCTCGCTCTTGGAATCTACCATGTGTTTCAAAATTGTTGGATTTTGAAGAACAAGTATGAAAGACACAGGGATGAGGTCTGGGGGGGGATGGGAGGGAGGTGGGGAGACGGGGCGGAGGGGGGTTGGGATGGGAGAAATTGACAAAAGAAAACTGTACTTGAAAAATAACTAAATAAATTTTAAAAATTAAAAAAAAAATTGTTGAGTTTTCTTGAAATAGAAATGATGTAGAAATTCCTTCTGTCTGCCTTATCTTCTTCCTGAAAACAAAGAACCCGACTTTTTCTTAGTTGCTTTTTTCTCTGAGTCCTCTGAGTAAGAAATGATTGCGAGACTGTTGTTCGTAGCCTGTGACCAGCACCATGGGATAGAAAGTCAGCACTTGGGAAAAAAGTGAAGGGATGTCCCACTTAAATAAACTATTAACTCCTCCTTGTAAAGCTTTCTGATAGTGATCCATCTCTTCTGAGCAACCAGCTGATATTTTAATTGCTGGAAAAGTCCAATATTAAAAAAAAAATTCATGAGAAGCATCCCAGATGAGAACCAATAAAACCAGGGAGCCTCTGAATTATTTCCCAAGTGTTAATAGTTTGCTGCTGAACTGGAATGGATTTCTGTGTGTAGCATTGCTCCTTCTTCTTCATCCAAGAGTGAGCTGTGCCCCTGGCTTTCTAAACACACTGACGAAAGGGAAAATAACGCCCCCAGTGAGGGAATATCATTTTACTAACTGATGAGATATTGGGGCTGTCCCTGTCTTTAGGAACCAGCTCATCAAAAGAGCCTTGTGCGTCTTCCCAGTGGTCAGTGATGTTGAGTGCCTTCTCCTGTGCATGTTGCCCATCAAAAATGCCCATTCAAGTTCTCCGTCCACTTTTAAATCAGGTTGTTTGTTTGTTTATATATTAATTCATGAGAATTATTTATAAATGTTCAATATTAACCCTTTATCAGAGGTATGATTTGCAAATATCATCTCCCGTTCAATAGTGTACCTTTCTGTTTTATTGATGTTTTCCTTCACTATGCAAAAGCTTTTTAGTTTGATGTAGTCCCATTTGTTTATTTTTGCTTTTGTTGCCCTAGCCCGAGGAAACTGGTCTAAGAAAGTGTTATTAAGACTGCTATTTACTGCTTACATTTTCTTCTAGAAGTTTTATGGTTTTGAGTTACCTTCATTTTATTTTACAATTTTAACTACAATTTAATGAAATATACAATTAATTGACACAATGCTTTGAGTATATTTTTATATGCTAAGTTTTCTTCAGGATGCGTTGTTTTGTGAGGTCATTATTTAAGATTTTCTTTCTTTATTTTTAGAGAGACGGGAAGGGAGGGAGGGAAAGAGGAAAACATCAATGTGTGAGAGATACATCAATTGGTTCCCATCACACACCCCCTACTGGTGACCTGGCCCACAACCTAGGCATGGGTCCTGAGTGAGAATCTAACTGGTGACCTTGGTTTGCAGGCCAGCCCACATGCCATTGAGCCACTCAGTGAGGACTGAAATCTTTTTTTTTTTTTTTAAGATTTATATTTATTTATCTTTAGAGGGGAAGGGAAGGAGACAGGGAGAGAAATACCAATGTATGGTTGCCTCTCATGCGTCCCCTGCTGGAAACTGGCCTGCAACCCAGGCATGTGCCCTGACTGGGAATCGAACTGCGGTTGTTGGTTCATAGACCCATGCTCAATTCACTGAGCTACATCAGTGTGGGGGCGACTTTCCTTGCAAGTCCCCCCATGTGCCACGGATGAGAGTAAACATGACTGAAACATGATGTGATGTGCTTGGGGAGGAGAGGTGACTATTTTCCCAGAGGAAAAAGGCCATGAGCAGTGGCCAGTTTCTCAGAGGAAAAAGGATTTGAGCCCCTTCTTCCAAGTGCTTTTATTGGGTTGTAATACACAGGAATACAGGGTGGCAAGGATCAAATAGCAGATAACATTTCAAAGCAATCTGAGGGCTTAGATGAGTCAGAGTCTTCCAGGAAGAGAGTTTTTAGGGTTTCCTGCTCGAACCCTTAACATATGAATGAAAGCACTCTTAGCAGAGTGTGTTCCCCAGGACATGCTCTAGCAAGACAAGGAGCTGCACCTCTCCCCATCAGGTATTCAGGCTTAAGAGGATTAGAGCCAGGAAGGACTTCTCCCAGAGAACATGGGGACTCAGGCTATGTCAAAGCCAGGGAGCAAGAGTCCATTGCTTTTTGTTGCAGCCCCCCTGAGTCCTTCCATGAAGGCCTCCCAAGTGATTGTGTCTGGCCTAGGTTGCCCCTCCTCTAAGGGGTCTTACTCACCGAGGACTTCTGACCATGCTTTGGAGCAGGGAGGAAACTGAGGCAGCATTTGCTACCAGAGACGAGCTTTGTCTCCTGTTGCTCGCATTCCAAAGGTCCTTGCTCCCGTAGCCACAGGGGGTAGAGTTACAATTCCTAGAACCAGGCGGAGCATCCACAACACGCCAGCCAGGGCTTGCTTGCTTTTTTAATTTGAACGTTGAGGGTAAAGGATGCTTTCGTACTTTTCTAACCACGATGCGTTTATATAGTAACACCTCCAGAGGAGGTGTTATTATATATGCAGGTCACGGTGCAGACTCAGAGAAGAAATCAGCAACGAAGGTTCAAATTAAGGTAAGTGTTAATAATCATTCTCGGGGAAGAAGGACATAAGTGGGCAGGGGCAAGTTTAGGTCCTTGGGAAACAGGCAAAAAAAAGGCCAATGTTTCAAAGGTCTGAAATGAGAAGTACAATTTTTTTTACCTTTGCCTGTCCCAGAAAACACAAGCCCTGAATGCCTTAGTGGCTTCCTGTGGCTCTGGCCGAGGGAACTGTGTTTTAAAATATATTTGGGGTAAATACTGAAATGAAATAAGTATCTTTAAAAATGGCTAACTTGCTTAGATCTCAAATTAGAGAAAGGTGGCATAATGAATACAGGTGTCTGAATGTTTAGCAATCAAATGCCTTGAAAAATAATAGATCCAGATAGAAATTGCCTTCAGTGTGTGTATCAATTTGAGAAAAATTATCACTTTTTGAAAAGATTTAATAAGTAATTTATTTTTAGATGGAGGAGAAGGGAAGAAGCAAGATAGAAAGAGAGATACCACTGTGTGGTGGAATTTACTGAATTTATCTCACATGCCCTGTATTGGAGTCCTAGCCTGCAACCCAGGCATATACCCTGACTTGGAATCAAACCCGCGAGCCTTTGGTTTGCAGGCTCATGCTCAACCTACTGAGCTACTCCAGCCAGGGCAAAATGATTGTTTTTAATATTTTATTGAATGTATTGGGGTCACATTGGTCCATGAAATTACACAGGTTTCAATACATCATCTGCACGTTGCATTCTAGTTTTTCACGTTGCATTCACGTCCAAAGCCTAGTCTTTCGTCGTTATTTACTCCCATTTACCCTCTTCCACTTGCCCCCCTGCCTTTCCTCTGGCACTCACTGCACTGCTGTCTGTGTCCATGAGCTCTTCTTTTTTTGCTTAATCTCTTCACCTATTTCACCCAATCCACTATTCTTCTCCCCTCTGACAGATGTCCGTCTGTCCTTTGTGTTTATGAGTCTGTTTCTACTTCATTTCTATATTGTGTTCATTAGATTCCACATATAAGTGGAATCATATGGTCCTTGTTTTTCTCCTACTGGCTTCTTTCACTTCGCACAAAAGCCTCTAGGTCCACTTTTGCTATCGTAAAAGATAAGACTGGCTGAGTGGTATTTTATTGTGTAAATGTCCCATAGCTGTTTTAGCCAGTCATCTACTGATGGGCATTCAGGCTACTTCCAAATCTTGGCCATTTTAAAGAATGCTGCAATGAATATGGGGTGCTTATGTTCTTTGGAATCAATGTGTTGGGTTTCTTTGGATAAATCCCCAGAAGTGGAATCACTGTGTCATAAGGCAGATCCACTTCTCATGTTTCTGAGGAAACTCCACACTGTTTCCCACAGTGGCTGCCCCAGTCCGCGTTTCCACCGACAGTGCACGAGGGCTCCCTTTTCTCCACGTCCTCGCCAACAGTTGTCATTTGTGGATTTATTAAGGATAGCCATTCTGACAGGTATGAGGTGACATCTCGTTGTGGTTTTAATTTGCATTTCTCTGGTGGTTAGTGACATTGAGCATCTTTTCATATGTCTGTTGGCCATCTGTATGTCCTCAAGTCCAAAGTCTCATCTAGATATCTACAATGAAACAGGGATGGCTGAGACTTGAGCTAGGATTCATTTTGGAATTTGGGGAGAGGGGTGAAAACATTTCATCTGTAACAAAGCTCCATCGTATTCTTTAAATTAAAAGACTTTTAAGGTATGCATGTCTCGTAGGTGCCTGTGCGATCGGGTCCTCCCACCTTGATGGATTATACACTTGAGCCCAATGTGACAGTAACCGACTACTACTATCCGGATGGCCTCTCGAGCCCCTGTGATTCGGAAATTACCCAGACAGACAGCAGGCTGCTCCTTGCCGTCTTCTACTGCCTCCTGTTTGTATTTGGCCTTCTTGGGAACAGCCTGGTCATCCTGGTCCTTGTCATCTGCAAGAAGCTGAAGAGCATCACAGACATATACCTCTTGAACTTGGCGCTGTCGGACCTGCTTTTTGTCTTCTCCTTCCCCTTTCAGACTCACTATCACCTCTACCAGTGGGTATTTGGCACTGTCATGTGCAAGGTGGTCTCTGGCTTTTATTACATTGGCTTCTTCAGCAGCATGTTTTTTATCACCCTCATGAGTGTGGACAGGTACCTGGCGATTGTCCACGCCGTGTATGCCATGAGGGTGAGGACAACCAAGATCGGCACGGCCCTGACCCTGGCGGCGTGGCTGACCGCTGGCATGGCCACAAGCCCACTGGTGGTATTTTACCAAGTGTCCTCTGAAGATGGCGTCTTACAGTGTTACTCGTTTTACAATCAACAGACTTTAAAGTGGAAGCTCTTCACCCACTTTGAAATGAACATCTTAGGCCTGTTGATCCCATTCACCATCCTCCTGTTCTGCTACATTAGCATCCTGCACCAGCTGAAGAATTGCCAAAACCAGAACAAGGCCAAGGCTATCAAGCTGGTGCTCATTGTGGTCATTGCATCTCTACTCTTCTGGGTCCCCTTCAACGTAGTCCTCTTCCTCACTTCCCTGCACGACCTGCACATCTTGGATGAATGTGTCATGTACCAGCGGCTGACGTATGCCACCCACATCACAGAAATCATCTCCTTCACTCACTGCTGTGTCAACCCCATTATCTATGCCTTCATAGGGGAGAAATTCAAGAAACACCTCTCGGAAATATTTCAGAAAAGTTGCAACCACATCTTTCTCTACTTGAGGAGACCAATTCCCAAGAAATACAGGGAGAAGTCATTCTCTTCTCAGCAGTCCTTCCGCTCCTCCAGCACGGACTACATTTTGTGAGCACACACCCTCCAGAGGGGCCGCTGCTTTGGCCGCCAGGCTTCTTCCAAAGACAGATGAGGTGTGTGCTGAGGTCTTAGTAAGCCTTCACTCTTAGAAACATGGTTCCGGATATAAGATATATTTCATATCATATACAGTCCTACTACTGCAAGTCAATCTTCTCAACTTTCAGAGACTTTGTGGAAGTAGTGAATATATTACACCATTAAGCATAATGTTTGTTTTTTTCCCCCTAGTTTTCTGAGTGTCTTTATCATATATGAATGTAAATTTTATCCAGCGCTTTTTTCCTTATCTCTTGAAGTGATCTTATAGTCTTCTCCATTATTCTGTTAATTTGGTGAGCCACATTGGTTGATTCTTAGCTTAAACCAACCTGTATTTTCCCTGAGGGACAAATGAGCTCTTGGTGTGATCATTTGAAAAAAAAATCACTGAATTCTCTATGATTTTTGTACTTATGTTGACAAGATATTGTCCTGAAATTTCTTCCTCTTACAATGCCATGATTAGGTTTGGCCTCCAAAAATGTGTTGGGAAGTATTCCCTTTTCTGTGATTCTCTGAAAGAGTTTTTATAAAAAATTAATATTATTTCTTCCTTAAATGTTTGGAGAAAATCATTAGTGAATCCATCTGGGGGTTCTCTGTGGAAGATTTCAAACTATGCGTTCAGTTTCTTCAGCAGGTAGATGATTTGTATTTTCTGTCTTTGCTTGTCTCACTCTTTGAAAGTTGTTAGTTTTAAGAAATTTTCCCACTTTATCTAAATTGTCAAATGTATTAGTCTCCAATTCTTCCTAATGTCCTTGCATAGTCTGTTTTAATGCAGGAGGATCTGAAGTAATGTCCCTTTTTTCCTGATTTTGGTCATTTGTGTTTTCTCTCTCTTTTTCTGGATCAGTTTTAGGGGGGTTATTAATTTTATCCATCCTTTCAAAGAACCAGCTTTTGGCTTTGTTGAGTTTTGGGGTTTTTTTTTGTCTTTTCATTTATTTCTGCTCTTATCTTTACCTTATCTGTTTTCTGTGGGTTTCATTTACTCTTTTATTCTGGCTTCTTGAATCTTAGATTACTGATTGTCAACAACAAACAGATAAAAACCCTCTTCAACAGGGCCTAAAAATCCTTGGAGAGCCAGCCCCATCCATCTTCCTCACTCTTCCTCCCCCTACTGTACCCTCCCGGCCTCTCTGGCTGCCTTTGAACCCTGGACATTGGTCTCTGTTATGTACTCAAATGGTTCTCCTCTCGATTTTTACATATGTTTCTCTTTTTTCCCTGCCCTCTAGTTATCTGAGTGTTAAAGACTTTCACTTTTCTTATCCACATCTTGTAGCTTTATTTTATGTTTTATACATATATTCAATGTGTTCCCAATTTCGACTCTGATATTGTTTCACTCTGGAACAGTGAAGCTCTTGGTCAACACTCGCTGAGCTGAAATGATGTGGGCAGGAGGGATATGGGGCCAGGGGCAGAGGGGCTTTTACATTTTTAGACACTTACTCTGAACTGGACACTTAACCACTATTTTCTCTCTCTCTTTTTTTTTTAAGAGAGGGGAAGGGAAGGAGAGAAAGGGAGAGCTACATCAATCAATTGCCTCTCACACATACCCTAACTGAGGATCAAACCTGCAACCTAGGCATGGGCTCTGGCTGGGAATCAAACCTGTGACATTTCGGTTTACAGGACATCATTCCAACCAACTGAGCCACAGCGGGCAGGGCCAAAAAGGCATTCAGATGATTACTGTTAACCCATGAGGCTGCCAAACTGGTATTCCAGAGCGTGACATCTCAAAGCTGTGGGAGTTCTGCCCTGTCGTTTCCTGCATCAGCCAGTTAAGTCCCCGGTCTTCTCACACGTGCCCCATGCTCCTTGGCTGGGCTGATGCCGAGGAGCATGGGGCACGTGTGGCCTGGGGCAGGCCGACGTCTGGAAGACAAGCCTGTGAGCCCAGCCAGCACCCTGGAAGGGGCCACCATGCCAGACACAGAGGGATGGGCCAGCTCTGTGGTTGGCGTGTGACTTGGGGAGGAGTCTCCTCCACCTGCTGCCAGGCTGCTGCCCGCCAGCATTTCTCTCTCTGATCCAGTGAAGACCATTTGGAAGAGCTGACACTTGTCAAGTGAAACGTACCGCTGGGTCTTGAACCATGCCGGGCCTTTCTGAGCAGACATCGCAAGGGGCGCCTGGGAAAGCCCTGCCCTGGGTGCCGCCTCTCCAGTCACAAGCAGGCCTAAACTCAGCTCTCTGAGTGTCTAGGAGGTCATCTGAGGATAAGGATGGTGACGATGGTGACAGTCACCGTGCCTGCTTCACAGAACTGCCTGATGTCTAATCTGTAATCTGCAAACTGCTTTGTACACGCAGAGGTCGAATAGTATCACCCTAATCCGAATGCACAGTGTACGGCCCTGCCAGCTGGGTAATTCCCAGCGACTTTATTTTTCTTAAGCTACAAGATTAGTTTGTTGTGTTATGTTTTCACAACAGGATGAAGAAAGTAAAATGTCTTGTTGAAGTTTTACTGGGAAAATCGTTTGGGGGCATGTATGATAACATTTTTTTTAGTTGAGTTTATTGGAAAACACTTTCTCACAAATACCTTCAAATGCTGTTATAATTCTGCTTTCAATGTTTTTGCCTATGAAATAAAAGGGGGTTTTTTTTTTGAGTGATTGAAGCTTCTGAGATAAAATAACTAGGTTAAGATAGCAGGAATCCAATAAAGGGTAAAAGTAGCAGGGGCAAATTTCATTGTGTAATCTTTTTCTTAGCTGTGTGATCTTGGGCAACTTACTTTGAATGTTTGGTGCTTCTGTTTCCTTACAAGTTAAATGCATAACTTTGATGTAGGGGAAAGGGTGACCCAGGGTTGTGAACCAGTGTTCTAATGCCACCTGCCTGCCACTCGGTAGCTCACAGGGATAAGAGTTGCCTACATAGGACAGAAAGAATTCATTGGCCTCAAGCTTTTGGCCAACCCAGTATCAGCCAGACCCCCCAGGGTCCCTGAGGCTTGACCAGACTACAAGTTCCCATGTGCAAATCTGGCTATTTCATCCTTCTGCTTATAACTCTTCCGGATACAACTCAAATTCTTTAACATGGCGGCTCGGGCCCCACGCTTTCTCTCTGGCCTCCTCCCTCACCTTTCTTCCCTCCCACTAGGCATTACCACTTGCACAGTCTGGTTTGTTCTCTCTCTCATCTCTGGTCATTTGCACATGCTCTGCCTGGTGAAAACAGGCCCCTCTGTTGAATAAAGACATGAATTAATGAGTCAAATTGGAATCATATCAAGCGTAGTCTGATATGGCAGAGTCAGGCACACTCTTGGGCTTTTCAGGTCTCAAGCAGTCACCTCCAGCCCTGTATAAAGGACTATTCTCTACCCAGTGCCAGCTGGAGCCCTGTCATGGTGGGCTGTATAATGAACTCACGGAGAAGGCTGTGGATGTCATGGGCGTGACTTCCAGGCTATTGGCACTACTAAAAGAGGCAGACCCTGCTAGGATTGCTAAAGCTGTCCCTGGTAAGATCCCACTCCTGTATCTGTAGTGCTTAACCTGAGCTGCAGGGGCGGGGGATGGGGCCGGTGGAGGCTGAGTAACGCTGAATGGTTGGCAAAACTTTGCTTGTGCGCACGCATTTTCTCCCAGGTGCTCTGTGCCCCAGCCCATCCCCTGCGTCTCCAGTGTGGCGTCATCAGCCTGAGAGCCAGGTTACAAGGCAGCCGGGACGTGGAGAGCCTATGCTCACAAGATATTAGTTCAGAAGAAGAACTTGGGGGCCACCCAGTTCAACCCACTCATTTTACAAGTGAGAGAACTGAGGCCCAGTGAGGCGACAGCGAATGGACCAGAATCAGGACCTCTGGACTCCTGGTCCAGTGCCGCCTCCATCCCTGTGCCCAGTCACTCCTGGCGTCTCCTGACACCTGTCTACCCAGACAGGTGCAGCATAAGGAATTGGGGAGGGGCAGTGCCTGGGGTTAAAGGTCAGTGCCCTCACTCTGGTACCTGGCTGGTAGCTCAGTGACGCTGGCAGGGGGCAGCACTGGTGTTTCGTACTGATGCCGGAGGCCCCCAGCCAGAACCTGCTGAACACCTGGTGCATGTCTGACTCAAGTAGCACCTGCTACTTACTTACTGGCCCCCTCTGGTGGCCAGTTTGAGTTGAGAGCCCGAATTGGGTGAAGAACAGACAGAGACGAATGGCAGAAGATGGGTAACATTTAAGGGACACGAGGAGCCAGTTGGAAGACTTCTAAATTGATACACTAGCTGGTCATTAGAAATTTTGCTTTCAGATTCTTGGCAAAAGTGCAGGTACTTTATATTGGAGGCCTTTCCCTTGACTTCTAATTAAGGTCTCTAACTCACCCCATGCCCCCTGGAGGTCATATTGTACAGACACATCTCTCTGAAACAAATCTCAGGCCTGTGGGGGTTAGAGGAGGAGGCCCATTTCCTTCTTTAACAAGAAGGATTGTGGCCTGCTTAATCCGCCGTCTTCCAAAATCACAGCTGATTAGAGCAGGCCTACTCAGATTATTGAAGATGGTCCTTCGCTGGAGTGAACTGATTGTAGCTGTTGACAGCAGGTACAAAGAACCTTCGAAGCAACTCCTGGGTTAGTGTTGGTCGAATAACTGGGGATCGCAGCCTCAAAGTGTTGACACATAAAAGACACTTGTTTCCAGGGACGCTTGTTTCCAGATGCAGCTCTGCTGCCGAAGATGAAGAGAACCTCCCTTGTGTGGACATGTAGCAGCTGGGAATTATAATCTGCTCCACCGTTCTTTTGACATTATTCCTGTAAATGTCCACTCTGACTAATATGTAGCTTGTAGATAAACAGTGTGTCTGTATAAGAATCCTTCAAAAGACACAGACTTGACCTTCAGTCCTCCCAGCTCTAGGAGATTGGCTGACCTTCAGCCACAAAACCAAGATGATGTAAAATAAGGACGACGAGAACAAGGATGATACACACCAGACTATCCCTGCACCAATTGCCAGGTCCTTAGCAGATGGGACTGTGCTGGTCTGCACGTAGTGAACTTCTCACCCCTCCACCCCTTCGTCTCTATGTTCTGCTTTCCCTCTCCCTCCTTGGGAAAACCTCTGCCTACACTGAGATGTGAAGATGGGCATTGAGACAAGAGTTCCCTCGTCTTCTCAGACTGCTGGCATCTGAACAAATTAACCTCTTTCCTACTCACCACACCTGTCTCATGAGTTTGGCTTTCTTGCAGCAGGCAGCCTGACCTTCCCTGCGTTCGGTTACAGGAAGGGGTACTTGATGTTAGGCAAGCTGCAAGTGGTCCTGCTCATCCCTGCGGGCAATTCAGACTGGTCAGGAAGTGGGAGGAGTGCGCTCAGAAAGTACGTGTTTACCTTCATGAACTTTCAGCCAAACTGCAGCCTGTGTTTCCTCACCGGAAAACTGGCAGGAACAACTAGCGGAGCTTACTCTTTGCAGAAGGTGGGGAAATGGTTTGTCACAATGGTGATGGAGTGGCTGTGGCTTCTGTATACAGGGGAATCTCAGTTCTTGAACTTAATTTATTCTAGAAGGCTTTTTGGGAACGGAATTGTTTGAGAGGGGAGACGTTTGAGAATCAGGGTTTGCGGTTTGAGTGTCTTGACAAAACAGAACATGCCACACAGCCTGGGCTCCCTCCTTTCTTCCACCGCCTCTGCTCTGTTGACTCGTAGAGTAGAATCCCAGACCCCCCCCCCAAAGACCAGCTCAGTGCTCCCCCACCCCATTGCTCTCTGTAGCCCAGTCCCCTGCATAGTGGTCATGCTGGAGGCGCAGGTCACTGGGACAGAGGAAGAAAGGTATTTTTTCCTTTTGAAGCACAAAGGAGCAACAGGCTCATCCTCTCGGGTGAAGCTTTTGCTAAAGCCATTAGAATGCCTTTTTTTCTCATGCCGTCTGAGCCCGTCCTTGTGATGGGCAACTGAGGTGAGTTCTTCCACTGTGGAGGGCAATGTCTCCCCGGGAGTCTCTTAAGGTGGCTCTTTTGGACTGTGTTTGGGGCGGGAGATGTTCATATGGAGAGGAGCCTCTGTTAGTTATAGTGCAGAGACCATCATGGCACACCAATTCACCTCTCTGGGAGGCCACTGGTCCTTAAGAGCCTTATAAAGATGGAGCATGTAGCAGCAGCAAGTGCATGGGACCACCCCATCTCGACCCCCTGCCAGCTTCCATAAGGCCAGGTGGGTACATTGCTTTGATAACTGTTGAGGGAGGGAATTTAGATATTTCCAGAAGCAGCTCCAGCTCCAGGCCAAGAGGGAAGGTCTCCCTGAGCTGCTTTTCCTGGAAGCATGGGCGGGCGGGGGGCGGGGCAGCTCATCTCTGTGCTCTTCACCAGTCCAGCCATCTTCTTCCAAACTCAGTGACCCAGTTGCAAGGCCCTGTAAGGCTCATCTCCTCGCCCCAGAGGCAGGAAACCAGAGCTTCCTTTGGAGGGGATTCTGCCTCACCCATTCATTTTCAGTATCCCATATTTATTCCATCCCTTTCTTCCCGGATAGTGGAAAGTCCTCCAGATGCCAAAGCTGGCTGTGAATAGAGTTTTGAGAAGGGGCCATGGGTGCAAATTGGTATGTATGTACTCCTTCCTGCATAGTGGCTGCAGTCACTGGGTAGGGAAGGCGTCATGTAACCTTAGCATTTAACCAAGGGAATAAAAGGGCCAGATTGGATATGGGAGACCCCATGTGTAACAAGGGGAGTTAGGTCATAGAAGTGAAATCACCTTCCACCAGCTGCAAACAGGTCAGGGAAGCCTTGCCTGATATTAATGATCTTGTTTTGAACTAATGCACAGTGTTTTCACCAGGTGTTTTTCCTTTAATATTTTTAATTCGCTCCTCTGAGCTCTGCCACTGAGTACCGCTCCAAAACTCTCAGTCCTCTACTGACAGAGAATGCTCCTTTCACATGATCTTATAGATCGCTTCATCCCCGAGAAGAAGGGAGGAGGGTTGGCGAGGATGGGGGATTCTGGGCTCCAGGGGTGGGAGTGTGGCAGGAAGAGATGCAGAGGAGGAAAGCCTGGCAGACACCCGCCGCCCTTGCAAGCCGGCCCATTTCTTCTGAGCCCGGAGCCAAGCCAAGGCAGGGCAGTGGGTGTCAGGCCTTCAGGTCTCATCTCTGCCTCTACCCACAGAATGGTCAAGAGCAGCCTCCGAAATACACCCATCAATTATTTCTTATAAGCAGGATCTTTGCCCTAATGTAGACAGAAGGGTGAGGGATAAAAGCAGGTGTTCTTTTTTGTGTGTAAAAAAATGGTTGTTAGCCAATGCTACACAAAGAGAATGAACCTTGCATCTTAGAACAAGGGGTAGCGAAGTGCTCTGCAATCTCTTGAGAGAGGGGTGTGTGTGTGCGTGTGTGTGTGTGTGTGTGTGTGTATAATGCTTTGCTCAATCCCGCCCTGGGTATAAAGAGCACACTTACTTGCCTGCTCCTTGTGCCTCAGCAGCAGAGGAATGAAGCCTCAAAGAGAGCGTCTTGCTCCTTTTTAATCATTGGTCTTCCCTGACCTGAAGGGTAAAGAGTGGATGGTGGAAAGAAATCAAGGCTGTTGCCTTGAAAGGTTTGGGCTTTTGTAACCACGGCCACTGAAGGTGTGAGCCTGCCTTTTTCAACAGGAGGTCAGGATCCCTGACAGAAGGGATCGGTGATTCCCTTCCACGGATACGCCAGAGAGAAATAATGGGCAGCTGGGAGACCAAAAAGCCATTGACTGAGTCCAGGTGAAAGAGAAAACCATAATCTTAGCCATCCAGATAGACAAGAGCTGCCCAATAGAAATGTAGTGCAAGTTACATGTGTAGTTTTAAGTGTTCTAGTAGTCAAATTAAAAAAGTAAAACGAAAGAGGTAAAATTCATCTTAATAATACATTACACCTAACCCCAACAGTCCAAAACATTATTATTTCAACAGGCAAAATATAAAAATTATTAATACGATATTTTATTTTGCCTTATTAATACAAGTCTTAGACATCGGGTGTGTGGGTAATTTGCAGCACGTTCAATTCCAATCCTCGCTTTTCAGTGCTTAAAGAGAAATGTCAGTCTGCCAAAACTAAATAAGTCGTGTTTAACAGAAAAGTATTCCACACAGCTTCAGTTTTTAATATAAAATAAAACAAAATAAAAAATTCGGCTCTTCAGTCATAATAGCCATATTTCAAGTGTTTAAGAGCCACAGAGAGCTACTGGCTACTGTATCTCGACTGTAAATGCGTTGACTTTGCCCCCAAAACAAAATTCGCAGCAGAACAGCCGGCTAAGGCCCCGGGCTCAGGGAAATCGCGGATCCTGCAGTTCCGGACATCTTCACCAGGCGGCACTAAAGAGCACGCCCTCAACAGCTCCAGACCACGTCCGACCCCGGAAGTTAAATCCCACGGTTCTATCTAGTTCCTCCGGCCTTGTCCACGCCTCCGATACATTTAGCCTAAGCTTCTCCAATCCTGAAGTCTGGGCAGAATATGCCGGAGAGCAGAGCAGCAGTGTCTGCCGAACAAGTGAAAAGCCGCAAGCAGTTCTTGGGTGAAGGCTCCTACGTCACTCCGGAGCCACGCACGCAGCCCCCGACCGCTCGGGTCCCGACACCCACGGGGAGACGGTAGAGAGCACAGCTACCGTCACTGCGTTGCTTACTCCAAAGTCGCCGGGGCCCGGCCTGAGCTCCCGCCGACGAACCCCTGAGCCCAGTGCACTCAACAGGCCTCCTCCAATGATTCAAAAGTCAAGCCCGGCGCTGCTACAACCTCAAGATGTCGGAGACAGGATGGAAACGCTTATGGTAAACTGCCGGAAAGGGTGGCAGGGGTTCCAGGACTGCCGGCTTGGGGAAGTTGCCAAGGGTCAGCGGCCCTCATTGAGCCATTCCCCCGCCCTGGATGCACGTAGAGTTGGGTACTTGACGGGGGAGGAGGAGGGAGAGGGGATTGCAGCCCATAGCTTGGGGCAGAGGAGCAATGGTCGCGCTGTGCATTGGTGTCTGGGTAGAGATGGACGAAATTGACGGGGCCTTGGGGGATTTCGGGAGAATGTTCCCGTGAGGCCCCGAACGAGGTGCGAGAGCTGCTGAACTTTGCTTGGGTTGCGTGCCTGGAGTGACAAGTGGGAGGACACCCGGGTAGATAGTTGGGGCATCGCAAGGCCCAGTAATAGCTCCACGCCGGAGACGTTGGGGTCGCCGCATGTGAAGAGAGGGCGCCTTTGGGATTTTTGCCCCCCGCCGGGGAAAGGCGCGGTCAGCGGGACAGCGATTGGAGCTGTCAGGGAATGCCGCGAGGCCACGCCCCCAGGCGTCCAGGTTGGCTGCCCTAGTCGAGCCGCCGGGCCACCATTGGTGGAGGTGGAGGTGGAGGTGGGGTTGGCCAGGTGCGCCTGGAAGGGCTGTTGGGCTGAGTTTCTACTGGTGGTGGGTGGAGCCCGCAATGCGGCTTGGCCTTGGCTTGGAAGGCCTTGGGACTGCAGCTGCTCTCCCTCGGAAGTCAGAGTTTGGAGGCACTTTCGCCGGTGGCAGAGTGCGGATTTTTTTTTTAAGCAGCAATGTTTATTTACATCTTTGAAAACGTGGTTACCTATTTATCTTTTTGGGCCTTCCAGCTTGGCCACGAGATTTACTGTCTATTATCTATCCATCTATCTATTTTAAACCTTACCCAAGGATACGTTTGGATTGATTTTTGGAGAGAGGAAGCGGTCGGGGGTGGGGGGTGGGGGAGAGAAACATCTATTGCTTGCCTCAGCTTTGGGTCCTCACCGGGGATGGAACTTGCAACCTAGATATGTGCCCTGACCCAATGGAACCCACAACCTTTTGGTGTGTGGGACAATGCTCCAGCCAACTGAGCCACTGGTCAGGGCACAGTTTTGGAGTTTTTTTTAAGGGATGTAAAAATTGCCAGTCCTCTCTCCCTCCAAACTGCTCCGTGGGCATGGACTATCATGAAGGCACACTTGGAGTCTGAGTATGTTAACCTTCTCTCCTTGGGACAACATTAAAGCTCTTGTGAGGGCTGTTAGTGCAGCCTTTCGTGCTGAGGTTCCTGGTGCAAGGGCTTGGGCTTCTGCTACTTTGTCTGTGTTGACCGCCGCATGCCCAGCTCACCACTGGCTGTTGTCCATGTGGCCGTGTCCCTCGGTATACAGCTCCCAGTTTGGTGCCGCCAGTGGCTGGTCCAGCAGATCTGGCCTGCTGGAATAAACCTGGTCAATAATTTCCAAGCACTCATGGTGAAGGGCTGAGTCTTCCTCCTTATCTGGGAGTAGGATGGCTGGGTTCAGGGTTGTGGTGGTTTGCCAGGTAACACTTGGATTGTCCAGCAGAATGGCCTGGTATTTCTCCATATACCTGCTGTCAGCCAATACCCTCCTTCTGTTCCAGTTGAGTCACAACCTGTGTGGTACCAGCACTGCAGTGGGCTGTCCCAAGGGAAATTTAGCTTCCTGTTGTCACAGGTAGCTGCTACTACTGCCTGGAGACATGGTGACCTCCTGTCATTGTGTGATCCAGCTTCTTTGAGAGTAGGCTGTGGGTTAGGGTATATTCCCTAGAGTCTGGGTTAGCGCCCGCAGTCCAGTTCCCTGCCTTTGGTGAACACACAATTTGAGAGGCAGGAAACTGGCAGTAAATCGGGCAGTCCTAGTGCAGGAGGCCAAACCAGCTTTTCCTTCAAGGTATCAAATGCTACCGTACAATCCCCTGCCCATTTGAAGGGTTCAGAGTCCAGTCCTTTCAAGGAATTACATAGCAACTTTGTTATGAGTCCAAAGTGTGGAATCCAAATTCGACAAAACCCTGTAACTTTCAGGAACCCACGAAGCCGCCTTTGGTTCTCTGGGATTTTTAATGCAGCAGTGGGTTGCTTTCTGTTTGCCATCAGGCTCCTGGTACCACGTTTTAGTTGAAATCCCAGATAAGCTATTTCCTATTTGCAAACCTGGGCCTACTTCCTGTTTGCAAATCTGGGCCCTATGAAGTGACAACTTATGTCCCGTTTTTCTAAATGATTTAGGACTGCGATGGTGTTGTGCAGTCCTCATAGTTGCTACTGGCTATAGGTCATCTACATATTTCAAAAGAACTGATTTCCACTGAACATCCCTTAAGTCTCTTGCCAACACTTCCCTAATATCGCTGAGGAGATCTCAGATCCTTGTGCAGCGTGGTCCGGTGGTATTGGGGTGTGGCTTTAGTCTCTGGGTTCTGCCATTCAAAGGCAAACAGTAGCTGAGCCTGTTCATTTACTGTGATGTGGAAAAAGGCATCCTTCAAGTCCAGGACTGAAAGCCACTTACTGTCCTCAGGCTCCGTGGTCAACAGGATGTAGGGACCGGGCACTGTAGGGTGATTGTCCTGAACAATATCATTTCGGGCCCTGAGACCCTGTACAAACCGATATTCATTCATCAGTGGGCTTTTCGACTGGCAGAATGGGGTGTTGTGGGGTGACTGGCATGGCCAAATTAATCCCGATTTTAAAAACTTCTGCATCACCGGCTGGATCCCCTCTAAACCTCCTTCTTGAGGGGGTGTGGCTTCTTTTGTGGGACCCATACTCCCTCTTTTAGACTTATCTTTACAGATTGCACGTTAACTGCTTTACCCGGGGTTCCATCAGCCCAAACAGTGATCGACCTGTTCACTGATCTCAGGTGGGAAGAGTTCACCTCCAGGACCTTCCTGACAGGTCAGAAACGCCAGTAGCAGGAGGGCATGTTCCAGTGGAACCTCCACACGTAACTGCTGCTTCTCTGGAGAAAAAGTTATTTGTGCATGCAGTTTACAAAGTAAATCTTGGCCCAGCAATGGAATGAGACCATCTGACATATAGAAAAAACTATATGTGAGCTTTTGATCCTCAGCTGGCATTCCAGAGGTTGTAGCTGGCCAGTCACTCCAGTAACTGTTACTTCACCTGAACTTTTCTTGGTTAGTTTTATGTTGACCACTGAGTATGTAGCTCCCATATCTACAAAGAAATAGATTGGCTTGTTCCACACAGTCAGTTGTACCCCAGGGCTTTTCTGGGGAAATAGTAATAGGTCAGGAGATATCCAATGGAGCCCTGGGCCTCCTTATTCGTCATCATCCCTCGTTCTCCTTTTTAGCATCGTTCGAGAGGATTCCCACCTCTGTCTTCCCTTCTGTGATTCAGGTGCTCATCCCTCCAGCGGCCCTCCTCCCTGCAGTGGGCACACTGATCTGTGCCTGCAGAGTCTTTCCTCCCCTCTTTGTGCCCTCCCTGCCACAGTCACAGTGGTGGGTGCCTAATGAGTCTCTTTTCTTTCCTTTAGGGTCCCGATTCTTCTTTTGGGCTCCCCTACCTGCTTCTAAAAGCACCAAGGCCTGGTTTGTCTTCCCTGTTTCCCAGGCCTTATGAACTTGAAATGCTGTGTCCACCAGCTGAGCGGGACTCATTACCAATTCCCCACCTACACACTGGAATTCCTTTCTAATATCTGGGGCACTCTGCCCAATAAAAGTCATGTTTATCATTCTTACATTTTCTGGTGCCTCTGGGTCAGCATCAGTGTGCTTCCTAAGAGCCTGATAGGTCCTCCCTAACAATACAGAAGGACCCTCATCTGGCCTTTGCTGAAGAGTGTGTCCAACGCAGGCTCCTCTGCCAGGGTACTCCTTTTCTAAGTCCTTCCGTCATACACCTTTTGTAAGGTTTCAGGGAGACTTGGCCCCCACTATTATTTGGGTTAGGCTCCACCACAGGAATTGCCCCAACTAGGTAGTGGTCCCAGTGGGACCTTCATCGAGACGCTGGGCCTCTGCCCTTACCGTATTTATAACCTGCCCTTTCTCATCTGTAATCAGCAGAACATTTAGGAGAACCTGTACATCTGCCCAGGTTGGAAGATGAATGGCAAAAATAGAGGTGACAAGATGATCTACCATTCTCTGAGGGTCATCCCTATCCAGCGTGGGGTTGGGGGGCTGGGGGTGTGTGGTGTAGAACTCCTCCAGTTCAGTAAGTCTGAGTGGAGAGTGGCGAATGGGCCCAATAGTAGCCAGCAGGCTGGCCTTCCTGATTCACTCCGCCTATAGGATATTGCCTGAAAGGGAATTGGCTTGCTTTGAATTGGGAGGCCCCCTGGCTCTACAGGGTGGCTTGCCCTGGCTGGTGAAACCCGTTCTACATCCTGAAGGGGTGAAGCCGTTGGCTTTGCGGTCTCCACTTCAGGGGCAGTTCCCCAAAGGCATGATGGCAAGGAAGCCCCTTCTGCCTCTGAGCCTCTGTCCCCTGGGTTCAGAGCATTAATGAGGTTCATTTCCTCATCATCCCTTTCTTCCTGCGCGTTACCATCAGGGAGGGGTTTTGAGGCCCCCTTCGTCTTCTGTGCCTCCAAGTCAAACACACCATGAGGCAAAGATATACATACGTGGAAAGAGCAGAGTTCCCCCCATTTTCCGACCGTTGGCAGTGCTGTTTCAATTGCTTACACGATGCAGCAACTCAGGGAACCACCCACGGCCACCTTTCCTCACCATTGAAAACAGACTTAGGCCCAAAGTGTTAGAGAAATAAATCAACGTCCCCTCAGACGTGGGATTCTTAGGCACTGGATTAGGCTGTAAATCTTCCAATGCTCTAAAATTCTACCCAGCGGGCTCCCCCTAGGGGCCAGCCCAGCACTGCTCTTACTGTTCCTGCTGCAAATGCAAAAAGCTGTAAAAGGAAAATTCAGACCAGCTGGAGGCCGCATGCACCCCAGACTTGCCCACAACTTCAATTCCATTATTCTAAAACCGTGCTCAGAAGCAGATTTTCAGCCAAA